TATATTTCAAAATAATTTTAAATTGTGCACATTGCCTCCCCACATACACCCATAAAATATTTTATTTGTACATCTTTTCGTTTTTGTATAATCAACCGAGGTGAATGGGGTGCGCCACCCTGTATGTATATGAAAATAATATAATTATTAAAATAAAATAATTATATCAGATAACTGCATAATTAATAAATAATATAATTATAGTAACTCATATAATTATATCATCTTCTCAAGTAATTTCCTCGGTAATTTCAATACCAATCTAAAGAAAAAATTTCTAATCAACTGCAAATTACTTTTAATTGTATTAAAAAAGGAAACCGTCTTAAACCTTAATAAAACAATGTAAAAATACATATTTCTTAAAAGAAAACACGTGTAGATTCTTCTGGTTATATTACCAACAAATAGGTATTTTAAACGTCAAAATACATCTAATTTCGTGTAAAATTCCAATTAATTAATTAATTAACAGTTTAAAATAATAATAAACTAGTATAACTATTTATGTCGAATATTCTTATCAGGACTATTGTTGACTACTTTTCTCACGATGATTCCATAGGCTATAGGTGTATTTCAGTTGATTTTAAAAATTCCGACCGCAGCGCTCGATACGGCAGAAATCAGAAGTTTTCGGCTATGTATTTCACGCAGTTCTGATGTCTCCAAAAAATTTTATATGGGTATTTCGCCACTGCACTGTAAGAAAATGTACAAAATAAAATAGTTATTTTTTGTAAACATTTCTGGCGTTAAACCCAAACGAAACTACTTGTCAGAAGTTATGTTTACAGTTATACAAATTTGCCTAACAAAGAAAAAAAATGCTTAACGTTTCGGAGAGTTATCTCTTTCCGTCGTCGGAAGCAAAAAAAATACAAAGAATAAAGAAAAAAACTATTTAAAATGTTTAAATTCAACTATTCGAGAACACTTTAGTTTTTTAAAACAGATACGTCTACAAGAAACCGTTGACGTTCTGTTAAAGTGACATTATATCAAGTTAAACTTCAAAATTAACAATTACTACCTGATAACAATTACTTAATAAGGTAAAACCAAAAAGCCCCAAACTTTCTGTATGATTATTTTTAATTTTTACGTATGTTATGTTTATTTATGTTATGTTCTTTAAAATCAAAGAAGCGATTACCATACATTACTAACATCTACAGATGCATGAGCAATACATTTACTTTTATTAGATTTTATTAAAAAGGCCTCTTTTATTTTTCTTTTAGAGGCTATCGCTTCTTTCATTATAATTTTGGCGTTATTAAAATTTATTCTGTGCCCTGTGTCCCATGAATGCTGACAAATCTTAGATTTTTTGTGAAAATCTCCCTTTCTTAAATATAATCTTTATGTTCTTTAATTTTAGCATTTAAGGGTCTAGATGTTTCACCAATGTAAAATTTATCGCATTCACATGGTATTTGGTATATTACATTTTTTGTTTGTTGTTCTGTATTCATTGGTTTAGTATGTGATAAAATGGATCTAAGTGTATTTTGTGTTTTGAAAGATGTTCGTATGTTATATTGTATTCCCTAGCAAAATCGGTACGTAAAAATATGCTGGTACCATAGTTGACCTCATCTAAAAAGTTTTATTAGCTTGAATAGTAAATTATAATACAAGTTAGACCTTCTGCAGATATCAAAATATTTACTTTTTTATTTTTAGCATGTTCAAAAATTATATTTACCAACACTTTTAAAATAATTATGTAATAAATTTTTCGTTTACTCGCTATTTAAACCCGTGTATTTTTTTAGTCTGCTGTTTACGATATTCTCCGATGGTGGCAGCACCGGCGGAGAATGCACCAAGCCTTTTTTAAGGAACAACTGTCATTATAGCAGCTAGCATTATGCTAATATATAGTATATAATTATGTATATATTTTTAAACAAATTCCGGAAAAATTAAAAACAAATATTCATTATTTTGTTTTTTCTAAATATGTTTGAAAATATCCGTCATTTTCTCAGTTTTTAAATAACACTTTTACTAACACATAGTTGCTCAAGTTTGCCTGTTGGGTCTCTTTCACCTTTGCTGGATATCTTATAATTTCGGAGATTCCTATAATCACCATCGTATTTGGACCACCCCGTACAATAAAAGCTATTGTTAAAATTAAAATTTTCGTATAAATCAAAAATTCAATCAGTCTAATGCCAAATTCAAACGTCATTAATATCAAACACGTCTTGTTTGTTGGTATTCGTGTTTACCCGATTTATTAAAAACATCTTGTTACATTGTTTTGGCGAATTTATTAAAAAAATTTACGCGTAAAAAATATTTGTATAAATATATGTAAAATCAAATTTTGTGAATGAACAGTTACTATATTATCTCTGCCAATTATGAAGAAGTAATTCTGGATTCTTTGGATTATTTAGTTATCAAAAAAGTTAATGCCTATACTCTATACATAAAAAAATTGTGTGTGCACTATGTGCGCATACTTGAAGTGAAACTTCTTATTAACAGCTATTTTTTACGCAAAACAAATAGTTTTTGGTTAAAAATTATCTTTAAAAATGGATAAAGCGGATTTAAATAACGGGCATCGAAATGTGAACCAAAACTAATAAATTTTAGTAACCATATTAGCAGCAATCGACAACACCTATCTTTGGTGTTTTTGTGATTTTGATACACAGGGTGGTCCGAACTATATTCCAGAAATTTTGGCAGCATATTCTGCAGATAAAAATAAGTAAAAATCCTAAAATGTTTAGTTTCGGAGATACAGGGTGTAGAAATTTCATTTTTATTTCGATTTTTTCCAAATAATTTATGAAGTAACGTCAATATTTGGAAGAAAAATGGTGTCTGGGAGTTTTTTGACATGAGAAATTTGATTTTGATGTCGATATGACTCCTACTTGTAGAGGGCGCCACCTACATATTTTTTAACTGGTTTGAGGAATAATAACTTTTCGTCGGTAGCTGTATAAAAGTACTGAGTAAAAACATATACATTTACGACACTTTTTACGTAAAAAATGTATCTTGGTAAAAATCGCTACGAGTAATGGTTCTCGAGATATTTTGAATCGAAATTATCAATACCTGTCGTCATTGACATAAATTAAACATATTGACTAAATAGTTATTAGACTGAAATG